TCGTTAACCCATTTAAGTCCAAGCAATTGGTCATAGAGTCCCATATTTCCAGCTGCGTCTTCGGTGCCGGCATATAGGAAACCCCAGGGTCCTAATCGGTAGTTCACGGCCACCACCACCACATCACCCAAAACAGATAAATATCGCATATCAGTGGCCAATGAGAATATGGTTCCCGTTTCAAAGCCTCCGCCATAGAACCAGTAGAGGACAGCTCTCTTTTGGCCATCAGGACGGGTGTGATTAGGGGTCCATACGCTCAAGAATAGACAGTCCTCGCTGTGGTAGGACTCCTCGGGAATGTTATTATCTGGCTCTAATTTGTCCGGTTGTATACATGAGTTACCTAATCGACAGTCAAATGAAAATGAAAGGAATATTTATTTTAATGTTATTTATATATTATATGATATTAAATATTTAACATTATATTACAGTATACGGTATCTTATAAATATAATAAATATATAAATATAAATGTACTGGGTACTCACGATATTTGATGGCATCGTATACACCGGTCCAGCTTGACTTTGGGACAGGCTTTGAGAATCGCAACTCATTTAGAGGGGGTTCGGCTGTTTGTGTAATATATTTAATTTAAATTAATGAACTTGGTTTTTATTTGACATAACATTTTATAGTTCTGTTACATACCATAAGGAATGCCATCATATAAATAGAGTTGAGTGCCATCATCCAAGTCTTTGACAATACCCCTTACTTGACCACTCCTTGTCTTGACTACCGGCGCATATTGTATGTCACCACTAATTTCATGTAGAAATTGACAAAAAACTACTAAAAAGCAAAAAAAACAGCTATTCGAATTGTAAAACATAATTCGTCACTTAGCAACGTTAATATTTTATTGTTAATTATCTCATAACTTACTATAAACTGAAAATAAACTTTTCGAAAGTATAGAGTTACCAAATTAAATTAGTGATAAAGAATTCACTATTCTTTTCAATTGTTTCAATTGCACATACAGTATAAGAATTTTTAGTGCAGTATGAACTAAATACCATTTTAATAGACATTTTGGATTAATTGTAATCAACCTTTATGTTGTTTATCATCATCAAATAAAACACATTTTAATTTAATTATTAATTATTATATTTTAATTTACTAAATCTTTCATATAATTTTAATGTTATAACAAAAACAAATAAATAATTCAATAGCGAATAAAGATTAATAAATAAATAATTTTCCAGAGGTATAATATTTAATACTAGTATTGTGTTATTTGTAAATACTGTAAATTATTAATACTGAATTTAACAGTTAACTATATATTAATAAATATTAATCATAATATTAGGAAATCAATTTCAATCACAACTATATTTTTAAATTATAGTTGCTTGAGATTATTTACAAATAGCGATTCATTTAAACTTATAATAACGTACTTAAGTTTAGGTACAATTACAATAAAATCATATGCCTTCGTAAAGTGCCTTATTGTGAGTATTTTGTTTGTGATTAAGTTTAAAAACATTAATAAAATCAATAGCCATTGCTATGAAAATAGGAACCAATGTTATGGCGGCTAATATAAGAAAACAAGTGCCGGGTATTGACGAGTCTATTGTCTTCTCAAATATAATCGTGAAGATAGAGGAAGCGATTAGTGGTGCGAAACCATCGATGACACCCATTAGAGTGAATACTTTCCCCAATTCTGACGGCTCTACTATATTAGACAAATGAGTCTTAAAGCCTACCGGCCCTAAAGTACCCGTACAACCAAACAGGATTGCTAGTAGATATCCGATTGGAGACAATATAACACCCAATGCTATCATATGTAGAAATGCACCGAAGAATCCAATTATAGCCAAAAACATTTCGTTGAGTTTCAATACCTAAGTAAATGATAGCATTCAATGGGAAAGTGAATAAAAAGAGTTATCATTAGTTTGAAGTGCTTTTGGAAACAATGCTATAATTTATAAATACTTTAATCAAAAGTGGTGTCAAGAATATAATGATGATTGAGTTGACAATCATTCCCATTGAACTAATTTGCGTGAAAGTGGAGGCGTCCCAGTAGTACACCTTTTCGATGAACTGGAAAAAGAAAGCTCCCGGTGCTGCCGCTATGAAATAACCACAAAACATGGCACCGATTATTAACCATATTTGTGCTCGCACATAATTTGGTCGCTTTTTAGTACAAGTGGTTACTATGTCTTTAGCGTTGTTTATATCAAACAATAGTCTTAAGGGATGTTTGGTTTCATTCCCTATGTTTTGCTTTTTATTTTCCAACTCTTTTCTGTCATTATTATTATTATCACTACTTTTATTGTTATTATCATTGCTTTCAGCGCCAGAAGTGGTATCCTCTGTGTCTATAAGACCCAAATGTTCACTGAAATACTTCTCAAAGAGTTGTTTATCATTTTGTTGATTAATTGCAAATACAGACCAAATGAAGGCTAGAAATGCAACGCAACTGCTGATGAAGAATATAAGTCCCGTGTTATGTAACTGTCCGTTACCTCCGACTGGACTCAGATTTATGAGTTTCCCTGAAAGAAATACTCCCAATGGAAGTGCTGTCAATATAAATATTAGTTATAAAACAATTTTAGACAATATTCATAGAAAACACACCAAAAGCGTTCAATACTTCAAATACAGTCATTCGTATAGTCCGTAGTTTAGATGGAGTGGTGGCCGCTATGTATGAATAGGCCGTTGTCTTAACCATAGACCCGGATAATGTGTACGGAATAAATGAAACCAAAATCCAATTTACATCTAATTTAAATTATCATTTGTTTGTTAACTAATAAACCGATAAAACACTTCAATTCAATGAAAGTCTTACTGCTATCGAAATAATATGAATTCAATGTATTTATGGCCGCTTCCATGGTTTGGGTGATTGAGCCCACAATGAATATAGCTTTGCGACCGCTTATGTATTTGTCGATCCAGGTGCCCAAAAACATTGACCACACAATTCCCGGCGCCAGTGTTATCCATGTGTGATACATATTATAGGTGACTGTATCTGACAATATCAATGTCTTAATCTCATGGTTGGCATCGTTGGCCGTAATGTACGGCAGATAATAGCAAAACTCGTCACTCATATTATATCTATTTGTACACAATTTGTCTTGAATTAGCACTTCCAGTGGTATCCGCCTAAAAATGCCACTGAAAGTCAGTAATACCATATAGGGCTCTATTCTCAATAGAGATACAAATTGCATAAAAGTTTTAAAACTCATTTAAAAAATAAAATACTTTTTTTTCGTACAGGAACTTATGAATTGATATCTGGGAAATGTATGTCTGGTTTATATTTATTGTTTTTATGTAATAATTGAATTAAGTTTTGTTTTTAATCTTTGAACCAATTTAGTGATAACTAGAAATAGTTTCGTATTATTATTCAATGATAGAGTTTAATTTGAATTTACAAAAGTTTTGTGATGCAAAACTTATCAAATTTTTTTTATGATAGATAATATTGAGCCTCTCATATCATTCACTAACATATTGATTGAAATACAGTGCAAAATTTCAAAATTATGTACTTAAGTTATTTGCCTTAATTTTGTTAATTTAACGTTTACACCTTGAAATTATATAAAATTCATCTAACCAACAAAATATGCAAACATAAATTTGAATACCATAATTTGTCAATTTATGTAATTTATCTATGTTCTAAAAATCCATTAAAATATTTTATAAAACTAATATTGATAAAAACTGTGCTATACAAGTGTTAATTAATATTATTTGCATTAAAGCGTCAGCTCTATAAGATAATAATATGTATATAAATTTAATTTAAGAATAAAATTATACTGATATTAAGCTTAAACTTAAAGCACCTACACTTAATGCACTGTATAATTTAGTACGATATTGTGTGTCAATTGTACCCCCAATAAAGACAATAACTTTATAATTGTTATACTGTATTATGATATACAGTACTTTATACAATGACAAAAATATCTCTGAACTACCAATGGCTTACATATGATTTGAAGTTACTATTAATAGTACTCCACTTATGTTATGATACAATTCAAATACGGCAATTTGTCGTTTAAAATTATTGAAATAATAGCCCTTTGAATCTTTTACTTTTCAAAATAATTATTAATTATTATTCTAGATAGCACTTATTTACTGTGAATGGAGGAGTCTAGTATTGAGCTAATTTGTGCTGTCTTAGTATCCATATCTTATCCGTGCTACAGAATTTTATTTTTTAAGATTAATAGGTAATCAATTAATAATTATATTAATGCCTTTATTCTAGCTTTATTATTTATGAAAAACAAGTTTTTGGTACCAATTGTAGAATAAATAGAGAATTAAATCAAGTGATTTAAATGAATTGTTATCTAATCATAAGATATCATTAATTAGTAAATTAATGCATTCAAACAGAAAGTGCCTCACAATTCAAAAGCA